CGAGGAGTTCTTAGCTGCGAGTCGAGCTACTGAGGCGGAGGTTCAGGAGCAACGACGCATAGCCCGCATCGCCCGTGAAACTTGTGGGTATAGTTCTGATTCCCCAGACCAGGCGGGCTATAACTCCGAAGACGTCAACCGTCTAGAATCCGGCTCTTGGATCTCTGCAACTTATCAACCCGAGGGCGGCAATGAACAAGATGTCGGTCAGGCGGGGGACGAAGAGCAGAATGGCGGTCACGCTGGGGGTGACGGGCGAAGCGGCGAATCCTCTTAGGACTTGTATATATTTTATTTTGTTGTATTTTGGAATGTAAATGGGACCTTTTGTAAGGTCAGGTGTACATGCATTTTTTGAATGATAATGAAAGCCGTACTTTTGCTGCCATTCTTTTCCTTTTGTATCTTTTGTTTTCGGTACCTCATCTCCGCAGGGCGGATGCTCATTTGTAGGATTTTCAGTGTGTTTCTCGAACGTTGTCTGTGTTATCCGCCGATAGGATGCGGCTTTGACCCTAAATAGTGGTGGCTTTAGCTAATAATGGCATCACTTCAATTGTTAGTTGAGTGCCTTTCGTCGTAGTCGGACAGGATTGGCGACTGTTAGGTCCAATTGGCCTTAGCCATAATACTGTCGATGGCCTTAGCCATGTACGTAACTTCGACTGTCGTCGAATTACTCGTTTGTCGTAGTCGATCTGGGTCGACTTGTTGACGACGATGGCCTTAGCCATAATACTGTCGATGGCCTTAGCCGTTCATACATTGGAGATGGCCTTAGCCGTTTATACATTGGAGATGGCCTTAGCCGTTCATACATTGGAGATGGCCTTAGCCGTTCATACATTGGAGATGGCCTTAGCCGTTTATACATTGGAGATGGCCTTAGCCGTTCATACATTGGAGATGGCCTTAGCCGTTTATACATTGGAGATCATGCTAGTTCAGTCACTTTGTCATGTCAGTCAGGAGAGCGTATGGAGTGGCTGGTATGATAAACTTGTTCCGCAAATATCTCCAGGTGCCCCCTCTGCCGCCTCGTTAAAAACCTCCCCGAGAAAACCCAATTGGGACAAAACTCGGGTAAGGGAAAAAGAGTGCGACTCGAGAGACGCCTTTCAGAAATGGAAATACTTGAGGTGGGCGACGTTCCAATTGGTGCCTAGTTTTCCTTCGCTTGGGTCTTTTGATGCCAATGTTTTGGCTTTGAGGACGTAGTCTCCCACTTTGAGTGGTCTTATTTTGGCTCTCTTGTTGTAGTATCTTTCGACTTGTTTCTGAGCCACCATTCTTATGTGGGTCATTTCTCTTCTTTCCTCGGCCTCATCGAGGACTTGAAGTCTGTTTATGTCGTTCTCTACCCCGCTGGTATGTGAATACCTCAAGCTTGGTTCGCCGATTTCGACTGGTATGACCGCGTCGGTTCCGTAGACCAGTGAGTACGGCGTTTCTCCTGTGGAGGATTTTGGTGAGGTCCGGTGCGCCCACAACACTTCCGGTAGTAGCTCGGGCCATAGCCCTTTGGCTTCCTCGAGTTTCTTCTTCAGTATGTTCAATATGGTTTTATTGGAAGACTCTGCTTGGCCGTTGGCGGCGGGGTGATATGGCGTGGAGAGTATTCGCTTAATATGCCATTTGCCGAAGAACTCTGTTGTTTTCTAGCCGATGAACTGTCGCCCGTTGTCGCTGCTGATTTCCTTGGGGATGCCGAAACGGCAGATGATATTCTTCCATATGAAGGTGATGACTTCCTGTTCGCGTATTTGGGCATACGCACCTGCTTCCACCCACTTGGAAAAAACTGTCAATTAAAACTAGTAGAAATCGTACCTTTCCTCGTCCCGCTGGTAGTGGACCGACTATGTCCATCCCCCATTTGATGAAAGGCCATGGGGAAGTGACTGAGTGGAGTGGTTCTCCTGGTNGCATATCTGAATGGGAAAAAGCGAACAAATCTGCATGGTTAGTTAGGAATTCACGATACTTACTTGGGTTGGCGAGGCCGTGCCCGATGTAGGCTTTCTTCGTAAGGTCGGTGTCGTCCAATTGGACTGGGTCGAGATCTTCGACCGTTGCTTTACAGGCCTCCACGACGTCGGGGTCTCTAACGGCGTCCATTGTCGGGTTGACCTTAGTCCCTAACACAGCTAATTGCTATGCCTCCGCGCTCGCCCCCCTCAGCTGTTGGGTGTGGGCGCAATCTTGAGCTATTTTGTAGCATTCCTGTGCGGCTCGCCTCGAATGCTGAATACTCCCCATGGGGTAGGGAATTTGATCACTTGGTAAAGGCTTGAAGGGATCGCTCGCATGGCGTGTATCCACGGGCGCCCTATGATGACGTTTTATGTCGTTTCCTGGTTCATCACGTGGAAAGTTGTTTCCAGCGTGACTCCTCCTGCCAAAACGGCAGCGATATTTCTCCGGGTGTCCGTTCCACTGCATTGTTAAAACCAGTTAGTGTTATGCAATGCGGTATTACCTTATCCTCGAGTCCCATTTGTACGAGGACCCTCGGGTGGATAATACAGGCGCCACTTCCGTCGTCAATCATGATTCTTTTAACATCTGTATCAGCGATACGTAAAGTGATAACAAAAGCATCGTAATGAGGGAAAGACAAACCGTCGGCATCAGACTTAACGAAGGTGATACTATCTTCGAAATCGTCATACCGTTCATGGGCGATGGTCCGCTTTAGTTTGTGCGTGGTGGCGAACTTGACGTGATTGATCGCTAAGTCGTCGCCGCCTCCGACGATCATGTTTATCGTGCGTGCTGGGGAGGGCGGCTTCGGCGGCCCGTGGGGTTGTTCCCGTCCGCGTGCAAAGTTGATTTTCCCTTTGTCACTGAGTAATTCCCTCAGGTATCCCTGGTTCAGCATCCTGACCACCTCTTACCGTACGCCTATGCAGTCTTCGGTTTTGTGCCCCCGTTCCTGATGGAACTCACATAGGACGTTTGATTTCCTTGTGGCGGGGTCTGATTTCATCTTCTGCGGCCACTGCACTTTGGTGCACAGCTTCTCCAGTGCGTACACTATTTCTGAAGGAGACACACAAAAGTTATGGGTGGATAATAAAGGAGGCGTACCTCTTTCGTTTCGGAGTGGGGCGACGTATCGCTGTAGCGCGTCCGTATGCCTTGGTTGTGGATGGGAGGATCTGGTGTATGGCTGGTGTCGGTCTTTGTTGGAGCGTGGGAGTTGTTCTCGCCGTCCTTCGTTGCGTCGATCCCTCCTTGTTTCTGAGTTTATCGTTGTTAGCCGTTGGGTCGGCCCATTAAGATCGTCCTCGTTCGCTCGTACCTCAGCGCAATAGGCGTTGTGGATTTCCTCCCATGTGGTAGGGGGATATTTCATGAGGCGGCTTAGTAGCTTCTTGGTTGCCCTCGAACCATTCCTGTTTAGCCCGTTCTGGAAAGCGGCGACTGTCATACCTTCCGATACGTTTGGTAGACTCATCCTTACCCTATTAAACCTGGCTAGGAAGTCCCTGAGTCCCTCCCCTGTGGTTTACCTGACAGCGAAGATGTCGTTGACCCTTGCTTCCACTTTCTTTGCACCTGCATGGGAGGTGACGAACTTATCCGCCATTTCCTCGAACATTGATATCGCCTTAGCTGGTAGATGAGAGTACCACGTTAGGGCCCCTCCTGTCAACGTCTCACCAAACTTCTTCAGCAGCACCGATGGTACCTGTTCTTTTGATAGGTCGTTGCCCTTTACAGCAGTGACATAGTGGATTAAATGATCCTCGGGATCTGTGGTTCCGTCATATACCTTCAAGTAGGGTGTCATCTTGAAGGTTTTTGGGATAGGGTGAGGGGCAGCTTCTTCAGTGTATGGTTGTTCAACGAACCTCCCCACGTCGCGTTTTGGTAGCAACTTGGGAGCGCCGGGGATCTTGTCTACCCTCTCCTGATGGTCTTTCATTTGGTCGCGGAGTGCCTTGTTTTCATTCTCCATTTCTTCCATCTTCTTTAGGATGGCTGTTAGCATGCCATCGTTGGTCTGTGCCTCGATGGGTTTGTTATTTGCTCGTGCAGCTTCAGGTTCACCCATGGCAGCAGTGGTACCTACCGTTGGTATACACCTGTCGTTACTTTGCGGTGACTTCTCAACCAAGCCACTTAGAGTGCTTGTTACCCATTCTTCCAGTAGCTTCTTGACCACCGAGGGTGCTTCCTTAGCCGCAGATGTGGAAGCTCCTTTTTCATGCAAGATCGTCAGATCTTCGGATGGGGAAGATGAGATCTCTGCACCTGACGTGATGCTAGGGGTTGCATTCAAGATGCCCTCGTCACCGGCCTCGTTGAGAGGATCAAGGAGATTGGCTGTAACACCCACTATCGCTTTCATTCTGGTGTTATTTTCAGCCATCTTTTGTTTTCGTGTGGTGTAGAGAATGGTATTTGGTTGCTCTCTAGGTGGGTACTATGATTTTGATTCTCGAAATCCCCACAGACGGCGCCAAATTGTTTGGCTCAAAAGTTATCGATATACTTTGCAAGCTTAAAAACAATCAAAAGTAAGAAAGGGTAAATCGTAATCAAATATAATAGACCTAGAGATGAAAAATGAAGTTGTTGTTGTAGATCTAATAGTGATAATATGAACTCAAGAGAAAGTATTCGTTAGAGATAGCGATAGAGAGAGAGTATGAGAAAATGAGAGAGTTGTATTATTCGAGAATCATCCCCCCTTTTTACAATGTGAAGGTCTCCCTTATATAATAAGAGACCTTCCTCGAAATAATCAAAAAGTTACAAAAATAGGTAACGTTTTCCTAGTGAAGACACTGAGTCCTAAACGATGTCGCTTTTGTCCCCACGTCCGAGTCGTACCCTTACGTTAGTTGGCGTATACTCACTGGGCGTACCCATTGGCGTAGAGACGCTGACGGTCAAATTTGACCCTATACAAATGTAATTAGTATGTTTATCTAATTTATTAATAAAAACATAACTTATTACAGATAGCGCAAGATTTAGCCGGTACTAAATACTAATCAAGGCAAATCAAATGTCATATCAATATGAATCACCTAATTCATCATAGGTAAAAAAAATCAACGGAATCAAGGAAATATACAAGAAAACAATGAAGTATACCGAAAGAATTAACAAATAGGTACAAAAATTTTCCAAGTCGCCTACATGGGAAGCAATGAAAAGGGACTTAAAAAAAGCATCGCAAAACCGGAGATGAAACCGGCGCCGTCGGCCATAACTTCAGATCAACATTCTCATGAGGGGATAAGTTCAAATCTACGCAAAAAATCCTCTTGCTACTATTTGACTTTTTCAACACCGGTATCATCTTCTTTCCGGTGACAGGAATAATCAACTTTCCGGCTGCCGTCGACGTTTTATTAATTTCATCACGGTGACGCCTCATATGTCCACCTAAAGCTTGACCCAAAGAAAACTCCATACTACATATAGAACATACATGCATTTTATTCTTTTTGGATTGCACAAGAAAATCCCCGGCTCCGGCAAGTAATTTTGGCCGTTTATGACTTGCCCGGTGGCCGCCAAGAGCTTGGAAAGATGGAAAGCGTTTATTGCAAGTCTTGCATTCGAACTCATTTGATGAAGTCTTGTTGTTTAGACGAGAGTAAAACATTAAGCAATTGGCCATGGCTTCTGCTTCTACTTTTGTGTCGTCTTCTCTGCTTCTTTTCATGGCTATCATAATATTGTTGGAGGAAAAGAATGAAGATACAAAGACCTTTTTTTTTTTTTTTTTTTGTATATACCAAGTTTGAGAGAAATATTAGAATGTTGAAGTGAGGGATATGATACACTTGAGTGTTTGCATATATATATTATATTGTTTTAGGAGTTTAGCCAAGCTTTCCTAGTTGCTGAAAAACGCGACAGGTTATTAATTAGGATAAATTAACAATGTCGTTTGACTTTCCTTGTTGGCTTAAGTTAGTCAACATAAAGAAAAGTTACTCAAGGAAATGCATATTTTAAACGTGGAAAATGTGGAGATGGAATGATCATGTGAACTACAATTATTGAGGGCTGGATTCCTTGAGGTTCCATGAATTTGACACTTCCAAAAGTAACACAAAAAGGTCAGCGTTTTTTTTTTTTGGCTTAAAACTTTAAAAAAAAAAAAAAAAAAAAAAAAAAAGAGAGAAGACATTCGCACAACAATTGTTATTTTTATTTATGTGTACTATATGTTGAATTTTCTTGGTTTCTCCATGTGATCAATTTTTTAGTTTTTGATACAACTTAGTAAAAATCCCAACTCCAACTCTATAAGCTGATTGAAAGATAACAATTAGTTACACTATATCAACATATTATTTAATGCCTTGGTTAAACAAAAAGTTATAAAATAAAGAATTGAGAGTATAACTACATGCCCTATTATATTGAGGTAATTAAGGAAATAATACCTCATTTCAGATCTTCTGGATGAAATAAGAAACCTCTTTAAATTAATATTTCCATGTGATTTTCAGATTTTTTTAAAGCGTTTATTTAGGCTCTGGAGGCCTGCAAATTGATTGCATGTGATCAACTTGCCAAGCAATTACCTCAGAAATATTAGTAAGCAATTTTCAGTTAGCGGTTGAGTTAGAATATTGATCTATGGCATAGTATTAGGTTTTTTCTTCCGAATGTGGTATAGTATCAATTGATTAGGTGAAGTTATTGACTTGTTGTGTATAAATAGAGATTATGTGAAAAATAAAAAATAACAAGCAGATTATGTGATGCACTTGCTAGGAACAACAACAACAACCCAAATGGAATTCCACAAGTGGTATCTGGAGAGAGTAGTGTGTACGCAGACCTTACACCTACCTATGAAGGTAGAGAGGTTATTTCCAAAAGACCCTCGGCTCAAGAACGTAAAAAATGGAACAATAGAGAAACAATAGCAACAACAATATAATAAGACAGTGTAAGTAAATAATACAACAAATAATGACAGAGATCCAGGGATATGAAACTACAAGAATATAATAGTGACAATCCTACAGCTAATTCTACATACCGTATATAAATAAAGAACTAGGAATAGGAAGGTACCCGACTAGTACTACTACTACTACTAGGTGAGACAAGGCAAAATTCTAGACTGTCTATTAACCTATCACCCTAATTTTCGACCTCCACACATTTCTATCAAGGGTCATGTCCTCGGTAAGTTGGAGCAGAACCATGTCCTGCCTAATCACCTCATCCCAATTCTTCTTACGCCTCCCTCTACCCCTCCTCTGACTCGCCACGGGCAACCTCTCGCATCTCCTAACCGGGGCATCAACGTCTCTGCTCTTCACATGACCAAACCATCTCAGCCTCGATTCCCTCAACTTCTCTTCCATAGGAGCCACACCCACTTTGTCCCTAATATATTCATTCTTAATCTTATCATTTCTGGTATACCCACACATCCATCGCAACATCCTTATTTCGGCTACTTTCATCTACTGGGCATGAGATTTCTTGACTAGCCAACACTCGGCTCCATATAACATGACCGGTCTAACTACTGCTTTGTAGAACTTGCCCTTAAGTCTAGGTGGCACATTCCTGTCACACAAAATATTTTAAGTAAGCCTCCATTTCAACCACCCCGCTCCTATATAGTGTGTGATATCCTCGTCAATCTCCTTGTTACTCTGTATAATAGACTCAAGATATTTGAAACTATCTCTCTTGGGGATGACTTGGGTATCAAGATTCACGTCCACTTCTGCTTTATGCATCCCAAAGTATTCTGTTTTTGTCCTGCTAAACTTGAAGCCTTTAGACTCGAAGGTCTGTCGCCACACCTCCAGCTTAGCATTAACCCCGCCGTGCGTCTCGTCAATAAGCACTATATCATCCACAAATAACATACACCATGACACTCTGGATGCTACGCGTCAGCACATCCATCGCTAGGGTAAACAAAAATGGGCTAAGAGTTGATCCCTGATGCAATCCCATCACCACTGAAAAATAATCCGAATCTCCTCCCACGGTCCTCACCCGAGTCTTAGCTCCATCATACATGTCCTTAATCACACTAATAAACGCTACCGGAACGCTGGTAACCTCCAAACATTTCCATAGATGCACTTGCTAGGAAGCCAATGAAAAACACAGTACTTTCTGATTTTTAAGTTCTCTCTATTTTCTGCTGGAATTCTTCTCTGTTTACATTCTGTCAATCAGTTTTCTTATTCTGTTTCAGTTTTTTTTTAAATCTTTTTTCGAGTATTGCTAATTGTTGTTATCCGTACTGTTGTAAAAAAAAAAAAAAAAAAAATCTCTTCTAGTTTAAAGCTGTGGAATCAGATTATATAGACAAAACAATATCACGTGCTTACCTCTTGGAAAAAAAACCAACAGGTGAGGGGAAAGTTTAAAGACATAAATAAGATAAAGAATTAACAACTGCTAATCCTAAAAGGTAACTACGAAATAAAGATTGGCAAAACAGGAGGTGCCGTCGGCCATAACTTCAATTCATAAGATGAAGCTACTGTGGTTGCTGATTTTATGCTGCCAAGTTTGATTCAACTTTAAATACAAGTTCTGGATCTTTTAGGCATCCGAGAACAAAAGTCTAATGTGCAATTAGAATGATAGGTGAACAGAGACACAATAACAACACAAAAGATCTTTTCTTCGAATTCTTACATCAATAGAGGAGTTTCGGCACAATTCAAGCACAGCTAACTTTTCATAACTTCTCTAAAAGCCACAAGTAAATGGAACCACGATTACAAACACAAGCACAAGGACTGAAAAGGCATATTCTCAGGGTAATTATATATACTTCGAATTCAAGATGCATGTTATACACAGAAACACAGAGTTGATAAGGTAAAGATTTTATTGATAAAAGCACCAAGATGGTACATAAGTTTACACCAAAATCAGACAACACCTATAACAGCATACTTCCAGTTACAAGTTGAATAGCACACCCAAATATTGATCTAGACTTTCAACTAAACATTTCTTACACCAAAAAAATAAATTTTGAATACACATTTTTTATTCTAGCAATGTGATTCCTCTTGTCCTCGAAGCAAACATTGTTACTTTCTTCACAGATGGTCCAGAAAATGCATAGAGGGATGATCCACCATAGTTGCTTCTGATTCCTTGATACCTTCTGCCCTTGCCAACTTATCAGTAAGGATCTTATGTCGGGAGGCATAGTCCACGAAATGCCACACAGATTCAGAAAAAGCTCCCAGCACTGTTCAGCAATTTTACAATGGATAAATAGATGATTAAAAGTTTCCAACCCTTCTTCACATAAGTAGCATTTGTTACTTAGGCAGAATCCCCTTTTTTGTAAATTATCTTGAGTTAAATTGGCTTCTCTACTTTGGTAGGTGCTTTGGTTCTCCATAACATTTTCCATGGCCAATTAGATTCATACTGATCATTTTGTTCCTGGAGAAGATTATAACAGCTTTTGACAGAATATCACAGATCATTGCTTGCTGTCCAAACCATAAGATCCTCCTTGTCTTCCTCCACCACTGTTGTGCCAAGTAATTGGAGTAATTGCCCTACTTCTTCCATCTCCCAATCATTAAAGCCTCTTCTAGGATTTAATTCCCAATCTCGGTGCCATTGTCATGTCCCCAACTCCCAGGCAGTGAAATTAACTGCATAAAGGAAAACAAAATGGTTTCTATAAGACAGTTCATTGTCTCAGGGTGCTGCAAAGATAACAGGGCTGATGCATACCGAGTTTTAATAGCTTGTTTACAAGCTTGAACAATCCGTGGCCGACAAAGCAAAAAGCAAAAAGGCCTGTATTGGTTGCAGAGCAAATAATAAAGATTACAAACTTTTTTGAGAATGAAGTAATAAGATTGAAAACTCCTTACGTCAACTCTTTCTTTTGTATGGTAAACTAAGGTATTTTATGATAAGAAGTACAAAGAAGGTACTATAGAAGTACAAAAGAGAGGATCAAGCGCATCATAACAGCATCATACCCTCCAAGAAATTCAAAAGAAAAGATGGACTATCCAGCATATTGCTCCCTAGCATAAATAGCCTGCTGACATCTATTTTCCACAAAAGAGGTAGGTTGTCTCTTTCCTTCAAAGCATCTATTGTTCTTTTCCAATCATATGGTCCACGTGATGCATAATGGGTTAAACTCGTAAGCTTCTCACGTCCTGAGGCACCACTCAAATGACTCCTTACCTCGTTACTATCCGGATGAATAAAATTGTTCTTGACATTAATATTGTAGTAAGTCTCAGAAGAAACTTTTTAAGTTTCAAATGTATTAGCCAAAGTGGTTGGCATATTGAGGCTATAAATGAAAGGAAGATCGATTATCTTCATATTACTATAACATACCGGGTAAATATGAAAGGTTACCCGATTTTTCTTCTATTTGTACTATAAATGTATAAACATGATGATGGTATCACATGCCACAATTAAACTAGAGGTTTACTGTAACAAATATTAGTTGGCATGACTGGTGGGCCATCCCGGTTTAATTATGATGCGAAAAATAATTGAGAATTGACATTGGCATATATTGATGAAATAGAAGATTCTTCAAGAATTCTCTTGTGCTGCTTATTCTCATGATGTACCAGTTAAGGTTGGGATTGAATCCCGTAATTTCTGGAACGAATAGAAGGTGATATATATATGGGCCCAGTCACCTGCCATGTGGGCCGTTTACTATTATATGATTTTAATAGATGCATCTATTGTATGGTCACATGTGTCGTTTGTTTATCTAACNGTTTAGCAGAGATTGTGTGCCTCAAATTATAGCTAAACCATTGGTTATGAGAACAAAATTACCAAAAAGAAATTTGGTATGAGATGTATTATTTAATATAGAGCAGCACTTGTACGCATGTAGACAAGCTATGATAAATTCTCCCCGTTACAATTGGTTCAGGAGCAGGAACCAAATAATTTCCATCTTGAAATATGGATGTGCTATATGATTTAATTGTGATACCACTATGCACAAAGATGGGTTCCCAAAGAAGGTTGGAAAATGTGTTGGTGATCCTAACATTAGGAGGAGAAAATGGGCAGCTGAAACAGTGATACGTGGAATGAATTATTATGAATACATCTAGATCCTCGTACAAGAAAATGTGAACTTATGTGAACTTGAAGTTCAAGTGATAATTCTTTTACAAAATATTGCCAGAAGCATTTGCTGACCCAAAGCTAAATGTCATATTTCAGCTGTTAATGCTCCAAATAGAAAAAGTCCATGATGGATAGATTTAATGACACGCATGAAGCGCAATAGACTAATCGGTTCCAAAGATAAAACTCCTTGAAGAAGGAGAGGAGCAAATGTTCAAGATGGTCACAACAAGGAGGCAAGTGCTTTATAAGAGCACCATGACATAACACTTTATAAGACCTCATGGGAGAGACTCATGTACCTAAAAATAATGAGATAAAAAGATCTCAATAAGTTATGTCTTTAGTGGGTAACGACGGATATAAAATGATCGTCAACGATATTTTTAATATAATGTAGCGCTCAATATTATTAATATTGACGAGGATCTTGAGCTCAAATCTGTCATGGAATTTGGACAGATAAATGATTGGCCAAATGAAAAATATACAATGAAAATTGACTTCATCTGAAAAATATGAAGTTGGACGGATAGTCCCAACAGCTGAAAGTATAAAGGCTATATGGAGATATTGAAATATGATTAGTCCTATATTGCAAAAGGAATCCTTGATATAGATTTGTTTATTCTAACAAATATTGTCAAGGTTTTGTTGGTTATACAAATGCAGGGCATAGTTCGTTGTTCAAACAATCTATTCCATGTGAGCGTAATGCCATATTATTATTCTACAAGGTAGTTAATTGTTGATACTTATTCAAGTCATGCCAAGATAAGCAACTGATAAAGCAAGTGACTCAACACACAACAGACGTGTGACTTTTCTTTGAAGAGATGATTCCAATAATATTGAAGACGATGCTACTTGGATAGCTCAACTGAAAGAAAGATATATTGACGGAGACAAAATAAAGCACATTTCGCCAATTTTTTTTTTTTTTAGAGACTATCTTCAGTAGAAAGATGAAATAGATGTTCAAGAAATCCGTTCAAGTGATAATTTGGCGAAATAATTATACAAGCTTGGAATTCGTCGTCTTCGATAAATAAAGTGATATTTTCATAAGGGGGAGACGCGCTGCACTCTTTTTTCCTTAGTTGAGGTTTTATCCCACTGGATTTTTCTAGCAAGGTTTTTAACGAGGCAGCAAACAATGCGTATTACAAGATATGTGTACTCTTTTTCCTTCACTAAGATTTTTTTTCCCACAGAGTTTTTTCTTAGTAAGATTTTAATGAGGCACATAATCTATGAACATCCAAGGGGGAGTGTTATAAATAATTATCTAGTGGTGGATGTCCATAACTCCTAATGGAGTAATACCCACTACTCTTCTCCATTATCTCCATAACTCCCACTACACAAATACTTATGGAGTTATGGTTGTAACTCCCATACCTCCATACCTCCCCCCCCATGATCTTCCTCCATGATCTCAAATATTTAATGCCATGTTTACTCAAGAGCGAAGACACAAAGAGAAATTATGTCGTCCAAGTAAGAAACTTTTTGCTACTTTATGCTCAACGATTCACTTTTTAAGATAATAAGTCAAGATCATTTTCCTTTTTCCTATTTTCCTTGTACAATTTGCATCTGACCTCAACATAGTGGATCAAGGCATTCTCAGGTTTTTCAAAGTAAAGAACGCAACACCACTATCTAAAACCCCTCATCATGCTTCCACATGCCCGGTTTGGCCTGCTGTAAACACCTTTCAAAAGATAGAAACTCAAAAAAGGTCTAACTGGAACTCAACACCTCAAACGGCAATAATGGAATTCTGAACACCCTCAACTTTTTTGTTGTCTCTTCCATTCACATAACAGAGAACATAGAGAAATTGCCAAAAATTATTTGTGAAGTATAGAAATCTGGGTGCAATTCATTAAAACTAAGCAATCTTAAGCACTCATACTTGAGCAGATTCTCGTTTTGAAATACATGATTTTGCTAAAGTGCAAATGTATAACTTTAGCTTGGAGAAATATCCAAAGTGCAGATGTCCTAGAGTAATTTGGTAGATGAGAGAATCATCAAATTGGGAGGATGATAAGATCACATAGAAAATAAAGAAAAAGACAAGGATGACTACCAAACAGGTATCTGGAATCATCTCTTGAGGTATCAACTGGCACCTCTGCCGGGTGAAACGCCCCTTCAGCCACGGCCCCACCCTCCCTGACCCAATACAACCAGAAAAAAATTTGAGATAAAGTAATATTCCTTAACTAACATTATGAAAAGTGCAGCCAGGTTAAGCAAGGTTAGGAGAAGGTCAACCATTATGTTTAGCACTTACCTTGTAGTGTTGTGGATGGGACACAGCATATTACTACATGAGAACATTAGCTCGCCTGTACCACCTTGCAATAACTAAAGCACCAACCAAATCAGGAAGACAAGTATCTTCTCGCTTGAGACGCCTTTTCTACCAGGAGAATAAGCCCAATAAGAACTATACAGATTAGCCAAAAATTTTATATGAACTAGATGATTATGTCAAACTGATTGTGCATATAACAAATATTCCCCTATGAGCAGTTCAACAACTGACTCCTTAGAAAGATTGCAGTTTGACCTCAATTTAAAGCAACAGTTAGAAAGCACAGACCAAAACATAAAAATATTCCACAGGCAAGTTCAGCAGTCAACTTCTTAGTCTTGATAAATTCTCAGCCACTTAAAAATGAATTGAAATTCTCATAAAAATACCCATCTATTATCCATAAGGAATGTGTCACACGACCAACCTATTGGAGTTAGTAAGGAAGAGTTATATGTTTCAGCATATTAGCACCATAACTGAGATTCTGTGCCAATTAAGCTATTGTGTAGGTTAGACATCTCATTAACACATTGCATGTATATAATGGAACCTGTGCGTGTCTACACACTCAGCTCCTTTTGTCAAAACACATAAACTAAACTCCAGCTTAACAAATATAAAGCATGATTCTAAGAGACCATTTAAACCTGAAAAAAGACAGAAGGAATTCTTTCAAGTACTGCTATTAGCAAGTATAAAAAGAAGAATGAGTCTTCAATTCATTATCCTAGTGAATTCTTTGTTTACTCAATGCAGCTAGATCTTGTTTTACAAAAATTATGCAGTCTAACAACAACTATACTCAGAGTGTAGCAGGTTCCAAGTCCGGATAAAAGAAGGGTTGCGGTGGCAATAGACTTGAGCCTTGGGGTTTGCTCCCTTTCAAGGTCTCAAGTTCGAAACTCACTGGGTGCAAACAATTTCTGAGGGCCATCGGACTGAGTAAAACCTGAATTAACCGTGGTGCACTTGCGGGAAACTCCTTGCCGAGGGCCTGTGCACCCCCGGGATTAGTCGGGGCTCTTAGAGACTCGGACACCCGGTGCAAATCAAAAAAAAAAAATGACATCATCGTGCGTGGAGTTTAACATGTTACCAATTGATTGACATCGTAAAAGTAGTGAAAAAACTTTGTCAAGCTTATTCAACTTGTTTGTTATTTGCTCCAAAACTTAATAAGATGAAGCTAGGAACTCATTCCAGCACATATACTGCATTCTCTCTCTCTCGCTTTATTATTATTCATAAGAGAACAAAAAAAAAAAGAATTCTCCCTTTTTTTTATAAGGAACATATATGAGAACCTGCCTGGAACAGATTCCAATATGAAACAATAAATTGCTATAGATTTTCCAAATGCCAAAAAATTATCCATAAACCAACAAACAGCCTGAAATGGACAAATAAAGAATAAGAAGAAGATTACACCATCAGCGTGAAATTAAAATTTGCTACGATTATATATCTGCTCAAGCCCCACTTGTGGGAAACTACTGGGTTTGTTGTTGTTGTTGTTGAACATATCTTCTCAAGGAATAATTCAAAATGCAAAGGAAACAATGGCAATTGACCTACTTATAATAGGGAAACATGGGAAACAGATACAGAAAAACACCACATTATAGAATCACCAGCAGATCTTAAATCTAACCACCATCCACGGTAATGAAATCCAAATTATTTGATAGCAAATGTGGGCTTACCTAAAGTTATATAGAATGTACCAAACAAAATTCACTACATGTCTACATCTTCCAACAACAAATCTTCAATGAAGAACTGCAAAGAACATATCATCAACTCTTTTTTCCATCAGAAAGACGGAATTTATGCAGATTTGAAGCTCAGATACAAACAATGTTAAACTGCAAACAAAATAGGAAACCTGTGATATGAGAGATTTGCCAAGATTTCTGGGAAAGCAGATGCTTACAGTATCCCCATTTTATGCCCACTTGAATGGCCACAAATCCCAGCATCATCTTTATACATATGGAAGCAAGGGATGATGCTTCAATTTTTGGCCCTGGAATACGCATGGGACTGATTAATAATATCCTCAAAAAGGAGCTTCATATGCTGCCAAATTTTTTATAGACAGCAAAATTCTGTCCATAAATACACAGTTCAAACCATTTAGTAACATTGGGAAGTTGTGCAGAATTAGAGCTTATATACAAAGATTCATAGGAAAAGTAGATAAGACTTAAAGTTTCTAGTCCCAAGTTATAACCACCATTTCATACAGCTAAGCAAAATTACACCTGAAGGCTGTACAAACTAAATATTCAGATAAAAAACTTCCAGGCTTATCCTTGAACTATTTGCATCAGTTAATCTTCAACTACAGCCTACATTAATGGGCATGTGCCCTCCTTCAAATATTTTGGCATCTAGTCTGCAAAAGCTCCTCGTACAATCATTTAAGAGGTACGAAAGAACTTTAACACACACTTCAATGAAGGATACAGTGCACTATCATTCCTATACCCGCTGTTGCTAAAACATCATTCGCATCTCGTATATTTTGTGCTACATGATGCTTTGGATCTAAAATAGATATTTCTAAGGTGGGCAATGTAGTCCTATACTGCGCATAGGAATCACAAGATAAAAGTGAACTGAAGAAAACCCTGACCGCACAAGGACATGAATCAGTACAGTCACTCACCATGATATGTTGATACATATTTCCAATATAAAAAAATAGATACAAGATCCCATACTACAAAAGTGAACAGTCAGAAAAACTGTATTAAACTGAACCTCCAAAGTTACAAAACATAACATGACATCTGGCTTTTTACAATTCTGTTAGCAACAGGAACCTAACATAGAGAACAAAAGAAAGAAAAACATTACAGCTGCTATTTGATATAATATGAACCTTTAGAAGAAATTAGGTTCTTTAGCTCCATCAAATGTTCATCATTTGAAATATGCAGTGTTATACGAAGATCGGTTAATAATGCTTCTTTTTCCCAAGTTAATGGTCCATAAGCATATAATGCCACCAGGGTGCAGCGATAAGCATGCAACTCTAATCTATGAACACTTGTTGCCAATTCCTCTTCTGGAGGATTATTATGACTTTTCTCCTTATATCCTGAAGGACCTGAACCACAAAACGACTCTGCATCACTACAAAGGCCACCTGACACTCGACGTGAAACTCGTGGAAGATGACCTAATAATTCGTTTGGTCTCTCACTAGTGACACTACAACTACCAACAGAGCAGGCATCGCTATCAGAATCACTAGGTTCCAAGCTTCTCCTAGGGGAAAAGCCAATGACACCACCTAAATCTTCTCTCTCGAATTCATTAAATCCATTTGATCTAGTGTTAATGGAAGTATGCACGTATTTTTCACCCAGAGTTCCTCTTGGGTAAGCAACAGCATCTACCTTTTCCTGTAAGGTCACCAGAGCTGCTCGTTGCCTGCGATTATCTGTCTCAATTGCTTGAAATTTCTGAGCATTCCCATAAAGTGAATCAACACCAGATGTGCAATAAGGAGACATTCTCTTTAGGGATCTTGATGAGATTAAACAAGACTCTTGTCCTCTATTTTTTCCTTCAGTGGCTAAACCATCAGTTTCTCCAAGAACTTTAGTATGTGCATCAAGTTGCAGCGGCTGCGACTTCATCTTCCGATTATAATCTTGAGCTGTAATTTTGTTAGATCTCTGGGTCCCAGCTTGATCACAACCCTACAAAAGAGAACAATAGTGAGATCAGGGAGGGCAAGGAAGAAATAGATTCTGAATTTTTTATACAAATTATTGAAAGATACACCATATGCATCATATATAAAACTCACCTGCTTATTAACACAAGCACATCAAATACAATACAGTGTAAGGACAACTAAACAGACATACAAAAGTGTTCCCTCGTTGCATAGACGCTACCGAAACTGCCATCAATTAGAATAATAATTTATAATTTGATTTGATGCGTATAATCTAGAACACTTAACCACTAGGGTCAAACCCACTTCCCATATTATTCAAGCTACACGGACTATACCTTGTCCAGTCCATTTTTGCTACAGAGACCGAACGCATAGAGACACATATACACAAATGAAACAGTTCTCATAAAAAGATCTAGTTAAAAACATATATGGACTCAAACAAAACATAATGGATCTGACGTAGACAGCAATACAAAATAATCCTGTCAAATGAACTTTTTCTAATTAAAAACAAAGGCAGGGAAAAGAGCAGATAAATGATGAGGCAACTCCAAGTTACTACAAATTTTTATAACAAGCTTAAATTTCTCTGTAAAGCCAAAACATAATAATAAAATGAAAAATAATATGCACCTTTCTGATAAAAATCCATTTGCCATCTTTCCAATTTTGTCGAGCTCTCATGCCTGATATATGAATGCTAAGTTCTAGAGAGCAACCAAGTAGTCTCACCAAATAACGATCACGTGGTAAAATACTGAGCATGATGGCAACTTTCCAAGAGCAGTCATTATATACCTCCACAATGTCCCCAGGTGCCCAAGTCTCCACACACTGCACTACAGGGGGGCAGGGCCTTATCATCTTCCTTGATACCCTTTCTTCGATATTTTCACTTTGCATTGGTGAACCAGAACCATATCTAACACTGCAAGAGTGGCCATTACCAGACACTATCTCGGCAGCACGCCATGAGATTGGCACCTCTGCTCTGTTCATTACTTCCACCTTATCACCCTTTTTGAACCTCATTTGAGCAAAATTTCTTTCCAACAGCCACAACCTGTGATAAGACGAAAAGTTATAACGCTAAGAAAAATTCTGTAAATAGATTCTAATACAACATAAGCACTGAAAATTAAGTTCAAATAGACCAGAGGAGAACATGTTTGAGTTCCAGTCAACGCAACTCTAATATGTTTACTGTTCACACATTATACCAAAAACTCAGCAAACTGATAGGCTAAATATCTCAAACCTAATCTCAAAAAACTCATATACAACCCTCCTTCATTATACAAAAAGGATAAGTTAAAATAGACAAAAAAGTTGACCATAGACCCCGAACTAAAAAGAAGCCTTCACAACATCTCCATTACCTGAAAAAACCGTTTAATATGCCAAATCGCCTACAAATTAATTGCAATACTGAACCAAGTTGCACAACTGTTAAACCATTAGCTCAATATCTTTATGGATTTTCGAGATTTTTGGATTTTTATTGCTATTTCTCGAAGAAATTAGGATTGATTCTCAATTAAGGAAAATAATCCCAATAACTCATTAAAAGAAATTCTCGTAATTGGTTTAAAGTTGTGATTAGCAATAAACAAATTCGATGAAATTCCCTAGAACAATAAAAATGAAAATATTCAGATGAAATCTCATAGAAGTCGTGAACTGAAGTTATGAAATTTCAAACCCTAAAAGTACAAAATAAACGAAAAATTTAATTAAATTCGGATCATGAATAGCAAAAAAAATCAGTGAAATTCCTAAAAGTTATATAAGTAGAAATTTCGATAAGATCAAACAGAAGTAATCGGTTGAATCTTGCGGAAATTAACACCCTAAACAATGTGTGGGGGGGGGGGGTAGGGGGTTAACTTTAGACAAAAGTAAAAACGAAAAAAACATAAACCAAAATTGTAAGTAAAAGTAAATTCGAAGTTAAGCAAGA